CAGTATCATACTTCTCATATTGTTGCTGGGTGCAACAAAGTTGAGGTTGTTCCTGTCATTTCAACCACCAGCCAAATATGCTATATTTAATCTTTATTCTAATTTAATTATAAATTCTTTCATTGCTTTCACAGTTGATTACACCCACTCAGAGACCAGTGTCACACCCCTGATGTTGGCAGCTGGGAGGGGCAAAGTGGAAGCTGTGGAGAGGTTACTTAGTCTGGGGGCTAATCCTACTCATAGGGCATCAAATGACATGTAAGATGTAAAATTGTCTCTGTTGAATTCATCATTATTTGGATAATTAATAGGGTTTCATCACAATTATTTGACAATGCCCATTGCTTGTCAATTATTCAATTTACAACATGGTCACGTCTGTTAACTCTTGGGTCCATCCTTGTTACTTTTCTAGCTAGAATAAAGCAGGATCTAACAGTGAGCATGTTGTGGTTGAATTTGACTTTTAGCTCAATCTGGTAGCTTCATTAAGCACGATTCATTAGTGACATTTAGTGAATATTTGAAAAGGGCAAGAGTTCATGTAAGGAAACGTACACGAATAAATATTTTAAAGCTCATTTTAGGGATGGTCTTGATGTTTTGTGAAGTAATTATCCGACAACATCTTGAGAACTGCTATGTATCATTGTGCTAAAGCTTAACTTCTTGTTTGTTTTTCTTTCAGGACTCCTGTAGATTGGGCCACAAAATTCAATCAGGCTGATGTTGTGGAGATTCTCCAGGCTCATATGTAAGTCTGTTACTCAGGATGCTGTCGCTAATTGTACATTGTGACAAATTGTGTTCCTCCCTATTAATCTTCTTTAATCCTGGTTGTCCTTGTTCCCTACTTCACCTTCTCCTCAGATTGTAACGTAGTCATATACATTCTGTTGCAGTAATACATAGCAATTAGTGTGACATTTTCTCACCTGAGGCTAAAATGCATCCTTGAGGAATAAAGACAAATTTTCACATCACAGCAGTGAACAATTGCATTGTCATATTCGGCTTGTAGGTCATAACAGATAAAAACTCGGAACAAACTTTGATTACAGTGAGCTTTTTTGATGAACATGAGATGATAGGTTGCAGCCGCAATGCTCTGACAAAATAGATACACTTTACACATGCAGGTGTAAGGCAGTGTATATGAGGGAATGTTCATGTGACACCAAACTGTTTGAGGCAAAAGACACAATGTACCGGTAACAATGAATTTTACATTTTTGTATGGCATGCATAGAACCAACATGCAAGTGGAGGTTGACGATGAATCCCACTTGATTAAAGACAGTGTTGACATCAGTGATGAGGATAAAGAACTCCTACAGGCATATCATCACAGCTTTGATGATGAGCGAGTTGACTTGAATCTTATTGTGTCATTACTGACATACATCTCAGAAAAGTCAGAAGAAGGTGAGAAATTAAGTAGAGTTCAGTCATACGAATGTAGACTATTTGGAAAATAGATAGGAATCATTGGATTTTGCTAGTTTCCTCTATCCTGTATTTTGTTATCTTTACTCCTTTGCAGTGATCATTATGCTTCTGCCTGGCTACAGTGACATGTTAGTATTATGTTTGTTCAATTATTTTATTTCTATCTCCTTAGGTGCAGTTCTTGTGTTTCTACCAGGCTATGATGACATTGTTGCTTTGAGAGACATTCTCTTAAATGATGAGGCAAAGTTTGCAGACAGTAACCATTATCAAGTCTATACATTGCACTCATCTATGCAAAGCTCTGATCAGAAGAAAGTATTCAGGAAACCTGCTTCAGGGGTCAGGAAAATCGTGAGTATGCTGCGTAACTTTCCCAGATCAAATTCCAAATGAAGACCAAACCACAACAAAATCTAGTACCCGTTCGATCAAATATTGGACACTAATCATTTTTTAAAATGAAAGTTCCTTGGAATGTTCACCATTTAGCTTGAAATATGGAGTGTATAAGCTGGAAAATCTTCCAGCAGCTCTAAAGAAAATTACTTGAAGTACCACTGCTTTTTCTGATGCAGTGATTTAATTTCATATCAAAGGAAACATCATATTCGTAATGTAGTGGCAATTTTACAAGATTTTTTGTTCAACAACTTTTTTGCAGGTGCTATCCACAAATATTGCAGAAACAAGTGTCACCATCAATGATGTTGTCTTTGTTTTGGACTCGGGAAAAGTCAAAGAGGTTAGTATCATTTAGTTGTAGAATTAATGTAATATGGACTGAATTTACTCTGGAGTTTATCAGGAGCACAAAATTTGTAATTTGTTCATTTTGAAGAGCTTACACAACTTGTACACAAAAATCAGGTATTTATTTTTCTTACATTTGCCAGAAATCCTTTGATGCTCTAACATCAGTGTCAATGTTGAAGAGTAATTGGATCTCAAAAGCCAGTGCCAAGCAGAGAAAAGGAAGGTTAGCAGTGAGCATATTTAAACTCAGTTGATCATTTCCTTTCAAGCATTTATTCTGAGGTTAATTTCTTTTGTAAAGTTTTTGCTTTGCTAAGTTTCCAAGTACATTTTTTAGTGTAAGCTTACTTGCGCTGTCAACTTGAATCATTACTTTAAAATGATTAAATGCATGTTTATAGATCTGTCTACTAAATTCTTCAAACTAATTTTCATGATATGAAAGTACATACACTTCTGATTTTGTGAATTGAAACTTTGCTCTAAAACCCTATGGCAGCTGATCCAATTGTTACGATACAATGACCTTTTCCCTTCATTATATAACAGGGCTGGTAGATGCCGACCTGGTATGTGCTTCCATTTGATGAGTAGGATTCGTTATAAGAGTTTACCTGACTTCCAGACCCCTGAAATACTCAGGTTGCCTCTACAGGTAAAGTCATTTCAAACTCCTTTATGACCTTCAACCTTTCATATTGTCGTAATTATGAAACTTTAAGAAATGCTGAAATTCACAGAGTGTTAATTATAATATTGATCCAGATCCACTCTGAGAAAAGACTGAAAATAGGAAGTCAAAACAATAGGACCTTCTGACTTTTGTAATGGAGTGCTATCTCAGATTTCCTGTTTTTCTGTTCCCATTTTTAAAGGAGTTGTGTCTTCACACCAAGTTGTTGGCACCAATCAACATAAGTGTTGCTGAATTCCTATCCAAAGCCCCTGACCCACCTGCTCCTCTCATAGTGAAGAATGCTGTGCAATTGTTGAAGGTAAGTCAAGGAGAATGGACGAGGAACTGTAGATTCAAGCATTCATGCATCTACAGTTCCGAGTCTATTCTCTGACTTAAACTGTTTCCCATTGTTGTAGAACATGAGTCTCAAGTCTATGACACTCTTGCTGTTACCCTACGCCTGAGTGCACACCGTTGCTCCATTTATTCATGTGCCCAGGTTTGGGCTAAGTCAAACATCGTCAGTATTGGTGCAGTCAACACCGTTGCATCAGTGCTGGATACATACTCACTTCTCTTCCTTTTGCGCCTGGGAGTCATTGTTACACATGTGTCATAGCAGCCAAACCTATCGGACTAAATTGAGGAATGCTATTTCAACTTCATGAGGGTATTTGTACAGTCGACAATCAGTGCTGGATATATACCTGTATTCTCTTCATCATTATTATACGTGTGTCATTGCAGCGAAATCTTGCTGACTAAAACAGACACAGGACTCTATAAAATTGAGGAATGCTATATCAACTTCATGAAAGTATGGTTAGCACTTTTGGAACCAGTTTACAAACCACTCAAAATGAGCTTCAATGATACTTACATGTTCTTATATATGAATCATTCCAAAATGTCCCTCACTACAGATTGCTATTTCACTGGGAGAATGAGCAACTTTGGATTCAAATTACAATGCCAATTTTGGAGTTAAATAATAACATTTAAGAATTTCTATAAAGCGCTCATTTCCTCCTGAAATTTTTTATAGCACTACAAATTACGGCTACAAAAAAATTTACGGACTAACTCTTCAAGCAAGATAATGTGCCCAGGGAGAAGCGATTCTGACAGATCTGTCACCTCAGGACCGCTATTATCTTGGAACATACTGGAAGATGTGTCTTTTCAATTAAGCTATAATCCAACACAGAAAAGCAGCCAAAACATATCAAGTTTTTTCCCTATTAAAAGGTGAAGAGATAATTCAAATCCTGTTGAAAATTTGGCTTTACAAAGCATTGATCTTGAAAACACGAGGGATAACAACCTTTGTCATTTTCTATGGCAAAAGGCAAACGTACACAATAAGGCCAGAGTGTGGGCGTTCCAGGTATCTCTTAAATTTGTTAACTGTAGCTATTACAAGGCCCAGTAGAATCAGTGTCACGGCAGCACTACATTAGGTTGCTATTACTCAACCCAACCCAAGCCTTCGGTCACACTTTGATGATCGAAACAAGAGGAGACGTTGATGAGAGAATACCCTCCTCGTCGATACGAATCTACTACAACTGTAGATTTGTAAGACATTAACTGTTGATTCGTGACAAATCTACAGTTATTGTAGACAACATTAACCCGTAATTGTTGTGTAACAATAACGTAAAAATAGTCTACACTCTGAACAAAGTGGTGACGTCACTGAAATAGTTTAAAATCAAAGAAACTGATTTGTGAAAGCACTGTTACTTTGGGTACCAGAATCACACTTGCTTTATTATAAACCTTGAGCACACTCAGGCTACTTACATGTGGGTATGCAGTGATTGCTGGATGACTCTGTAGTCAAGTCTTCTCTGAAATTTTAGGTAGTTAGAGTTTAATAGATTAATACCAAGGTTGATCATGAAACACGGGCTTGGCAAAATTGTGCCATAATCCATTGTTTGCTGTGAATGTTTATATGCCTGATGATCAGGGGTAACATTACCCACATGTACCTTCTTCCTTTAATAGGCCATTGATGCAATAGACAACTGGGAAGATATGACAGAGTTGGGTCATCACTTGGCTGATTTACCTGTGGAACCCAGGCTAGGCAAAATGGTTCTATACTCCATTGTACTGAAGTGCCTTGATCCTGTGTTGACCATTGTGTGTGCTCTTGCCTACAGGGACCCATGTAAGTAGAATTGAGAATATTGAGAGGGTCAAAGAAATTTGTGTACAGTTATTTAAGAGTTGAATTATTTTGGGGGGAAAATGCTTGTTTAATTCTCCTTTCATTGGTTTGATTTTGCTTGGCTTGGGTTTTTTTTGGGTTGGTTTGATTTGGTTTGGGTTGGGTTTGATTGGGTTGGGTTCATGTCAAAGGCGTACAGGGAATGTGTCAACCTGCCACTGCATCCATTGAAACTTAAATAACGCTTAGTCACGCTAAAGTACCTGTGAATTGTCGGGAAACATGTCAGCAAAATGTTACATGCACGCCAATATCACTGTGGTCATGAATACATGTTCATTAGCATACTTCAAATTTGTTCATATGTGTTCGTAAGTTTTGTTCTTAATGAATATCAACATGAAAATGTATGGCCCAAGTTGGAAGGGCTGAAGAGTGGTAATATGTTTGCTGGCCAGTAGTAACTGTCATTCCTTGACAAACAAAACCAAGCAAAACAAATCAACCAAAATTAACACAGAGTGCAGAGTTCAAAGAGTATGCGGGTAATCTTTCAATTGTATTTGATTTTTCTTTGTGATTACAGTCCTGTTGCCTAATCACCCATCTCAGAAACGTGCTGCCATGGCTGTTCGTAAGAAGTATGCAGCAACTACATTCAGTGATCACATGGCATTATTGAGGGCTTTCCAGGTACGTTTCATTCCACATTTTGAGGCGTGAAATTTTAATTCTCGTATCATTGAAGAAATTAGTACAATTGACCAGGGAAGTAGCTGATAGTGTTAATAGAATTGGTTTTACACTACAGTAAAACGTTTCCTTTTGAAACACATTGGTTCAGATTTTTCCATGTTAAAATGTGAGCTTTCATTACTATGTCAACCACTAGTGTGAAAGTTTTTTCTTTTAATTTAGTTTAATAAAACAAATGCACATAAATTACTGCAGCATGCAAATGGCAATAACTTTTATAACGTGACTATAGCATGAATTTACTTTAATAGTCCCATCTTTGATTTCTATGAAAAAGTTCTCAGCAAACTTCAGTTACAAAACTTTTGATCCAGCAGTATATATACTTGTATTTCACTTATTATTTTGATGTCGCGATTCCAAAGGAGAATTTTACTATGTATAATAAATGTTCATGATGTACAGCTTCATTTTCTCTGGTGACAGGCTTGGCAGAGAGCTCGTAGTGATGGCTGGGAGAAGGCATTCTGTCAAAGAAACTTCCTGTCACAGGCAACTATGGAAATGATCGTTGGCATGAGGTAGTTGCATTCTTTTATTTTGAAATTATTGGTGCATTTAGTATTTTTGTGGTAATAAGAACACGTATTCCTAAAATGTTCTAATGACATAGTAGTTGGCAAGCTTGAAACTTGTGAAAGGAGAATTCTTTGACCTTGGAGTTTGAAGGTCCAGAAGACTTAATTTACTGTCTAGAGATTAGTATGAAGTAATTTGGCTTGTTTACATGAATTCAGTCTGGCTTTTGAACTCTGTATTTACCCATGCTTCTTATAACATATTTACCCCATCTATAGTCTGCTGCTTGAAATTGAGTGTTTGTGATTGATTTTCTGGTTTGAAGAACACAACTCCTCGGTCAGCTTAGAGCCTCAGGGTTTGTTCGTGCACGTGGTCCAGGGGATATCCGTGACCTCAACACTAACTCAGAGAATTGGGCAGTTGTCAAGGCATCATTGTGTGCAGGCATGTACCCCAACATCATGAAGGTGGATCGTAAAAAGAGCCAATTGATGACGCAGTAAGTATAGCAGATAAATACAGTGTTTCATTATGTGAGACTTAGGCCGTGTCCGAAATGCGCTTCCAGAGCTACGGCTAGGTCTATTGTCTGCGCGTCTCCATGTACTTTCAATGGAGTGAAGACCTAGACTTTGTAGTTGTAGTTGTATCACTGCATTGTATCTGATCTAAATCTCTCCGATAATGTTAAGCATACCCAGAGTATTGCACTCAACATACAGAATGCCAGTTGGTTAGATGCTGTCACTTCTTTGGTAAAGAATGTTCATAATATGCTTGGTCTGAAAGTGATTTTGTTACACTACACACTACATGTGTTCCCATAACTAAGAACAGCAGTCACAGGAATATCTCCAGTTATCAGAGGTGACACCACAGTAATGTATAGTAGTTAATTCCTTTATAGTTTTGACTTACTAACATGATAATAAAAGCACAATGGTTGATTTTTCTCTGCTCTACAGAACAGAGAGCAAGATTCGTTTCCATCCTAACTCAGTAATGCATGACACTGGTAATGGACAGTCAACAATGCACCAGGCACATGTAGGCATCATCAGGTCATTGCCTACAGATTGGCTCATCTATGAAGAAATGACAAGGTCTGTTATTTCATATCCCTGCATTTAGTTTTAAACTGCAATAACTGTCTCAGAAAATTTTATACTTAGACCTGAATAAGACTGACAAATTTTCCTTGTTTGACATTTTTAAGCATGTTATGCTTCCTTTTCTTTTTTTTCACTTTTTTTTTGGGGGGGATTATATTTCTTACTGTACTCAATTCTAATTGATACCCATGCCTTCCAAGTGTCAGAATACTCTGCTCTTTAAATCTGCTGCAATCAATTTTTATCCAAGAAATCCCATGTCTTTGGCCGATACAGTGTCACCAGCCAGTAACACTGCCTCACTCCATTTATCAAACCTTTGGTTTCAGCAGCCTACAAGACTAGTGTCTACTGTACCACTGCCATGCCATCACTAGTAGCTCTTATTAACCGGTGGATTTTTACTGACTGATATATTGTCACTATTTATCAAACCCTAGGTTTCAGCACCATACAAGTGTCCGCTGTGCTACTGTCATCTCACCCCTTGCTGTAGCTCTCTTCTGTGGCCCCTCCCGCCTGCTCCCAGATGCACTGTTTCAACCAGATGATAACATCTCCAATGGTACAAATCAAGATGAGAGTGAAAGTGATCCCGAGGATGAAGACAGAGGTCAAAGGGCGGGGTTAAAGTTAGATGATTGGATTGTGCTCAAAGCTGACACTGAGGTAGGGTTCTATTCCGACAGTATCATTATAAGGTCATCCGTCAGTTTCCAGAATTCATTTCAGTGTTGATGTGAACACTGGATTAGGTTTTAACCCTATTTATAATACCACAAAATCGAAAAGTGTTTGATATTAGTGGATTCTGGCATTAGAAAGAAATTAATGAACACGAGTGGCATTATGTCAGTGAAAAAAAATGAAAATATTTTAGTTTTCGTCATGTGTATGATGCCTTGACAAACTGGTATCACATTATAACAGGTGACATTTAGTCCACTATCAGTCTCAGGAATTCTTTAAATGGTGGTCCCTCATTTTGTCCTTAAAACAGATTAGTATACCTCGTACAAATGTTCATATTGACAGGCATTGTTAATTTCATTTGACTTTAACAGGCTGCAAACTTGGCCCTGCATCTCAGGCAGAAGTGGCACACTTTGTTTCTACGTCGGATGCGGATGCCTGCCAAGCCATGGGCCCCTGGAGATGAGGCTGTCTTAAGAACTATTGTTAAAGTTCTTAGCAATGAGGAACAGTCATTGGGACTGCAACAGCCAGTAGGAATTGGACAGAGGCCCAAACCAATGGGTAAGTTAGGAAAGAAATGTAAATTAATAAATTCATAAAGACTACATCTGGCTTCATCCTGAATCTGACGTAATATTTGCTAACTGTAAAATACAAAAATTGCCAACTCTTTGCTAACTGCATTGACCTGAAATACACAAATCAGAACAATTAATGGGCTTGATATTCTGAGCTTGATTGAATCTTTGTGAAAGAAAGATTCTGCTAGGATGTTCAAGAGTCATCAAGTCATTGGAGCACTGCAACCATAGGACTTTGTCTCTGTTATAGGGCATTGAAACAAATGTCTAAAGAGTTCTTTTATTGAAATGCTGAATGTTAATATGCTTTTCCTTTTTTCTAAGTCCATAATGATCATTTGTCCTCTACAGCTATGGATCATTTCAATAGCACACCACCTCGGAAAAGTATGTCCAACCGGTTTAGCAAACAGTCGCCATCAACAATCCAGACAGCTACAAAGTCAGAAACAGCATCAACAAAAGATTTGGAATTCAGTAAGTTATTTCTAAAATTTGAACTGAATTGGCCTGGTCTATATGAAATCTTTCTTGCCACTTAAATAATTGATTTTGCTTTTTCCTTTCTTCCCTAAGGACCATCTTCAGGCAGCTCAAGGCAATGGAACTGTGCTTCCCCCTCTAACCAAGCCAAAAAACCGACTTTCACTAAGCCAGCTTCAACTCTCAATGCATCAGCCCCTCCTTTTCAGGGAAAAGCAGTGTACTACCATAATAGTGGTGTCAGCAGTGGCATAAACCCAAGTAGCAGTGGGAGAGCTTACAGTTCTGTCTCCCAGACCTATCGAGGATTGATGGCTAATGGGTCTGGCAATCCTGTTAGATTCTTCATTGTGAAATGCAACAATGCTATGAATATTGACCTGTCTTACAGCAATGGTTTGTGGTGTGTGTCTCCCAGCACAGGTCAAATCCTAAGCAATGCATTTAAGGTTAGTGGCTGAATTGTCGGAGTTAAGTACCTTTTAGAATCATGCACAGAAGGTATTCTTTCTTTCACGGGGTAAATGGAGTCCCTCTTTGGTAAATTTTTTGCCTCTATTTGTTCATATCATTCATTGTGAAATGATACCTACTCTAGGTTCAGCTAGAGCTCTCAACACATACAATTTTGGCGTAGTTTTTACATTTTCCCACCAATTGTACACTTGTACGATTTTGATCTTTGATGTTACGATTTTTGACAACGCTGTCTTGAAAATTATTTAACTTAAAAAGATGCTTCACTCCCGCATTTCCTTTAGACAAAAGTGGTCTGAAAACCGTGAAAGGACTGATAGCAAGTCATTTTAGACTGTGTGCGCAGTGTGGTACTGCGCAATGACATTTTGTATTTGTACCAGTCTTGGTTTTAGATGTGGATCATTACTAGTTTCAGCTGCATGTACGTACAAACGTACAGCATGTATGAACAAGTTGTGTAAGCCGTATGCGTACAGCACGTGATGACTGTGGACAAAAGGAACATAATGCCTTGTATCGAGACTACTACTCCAGCGAAGCAGCCAATTTTTCACCCGCTATTGTTGTAGTACATACAGTGACACCACGCTTGAAATATGTCAACCAAATGTGGGAAAACGAAGCCTAATTCTCGGCAGAAGTTTCTTCAGAAATACAGCAACGAGTGGCCATGCCTAATTTCTAGTAAATGGTTGGATTATTTCGCATTTTGCACAGTGTGCAACGCCCTTTGTTAGTCACACGGGTCAAAATGATTGCACGAAGCACATCGCTATCAATACACACACTCGGGCAGCATAACATGCAAGGAATACAAGTCTACCATGAAAAGGGCTTGCCATCTGTTGGCCGTGAATGACGATATTCTGTGCACTGCTGCGATGAAAAGTACTTTTTTGGAAATCTGAATGTTTGCAACTCTGTAAGTTTAACCAGAGTTGTTGTTCTTATTTTCTCACATCCACTGCAGACTTCCCAAGCCATATTCCTGATTTTCTCAGTTCAAGGCAGTGGTCAGTTTGAAGGTTTTGGCAGGATGACTTCTGATCTGCAGTACAAGCAGACAATAGACTGGAGAGACAGTTGTATGAGGAATGGTGCAGAGTTTGGAGTGCAGTGGATGAAAAGGTTAGATGAATGTGTGATTGATACATGTATCATTGCAGTTCTATAAACCCTGTGGCTAGTATTTTGGCAACAGCAGTTTTTCACAGTTTTGAACCCACAGGTTAACTTAATTTAATATTTGCATCGGAAAAACAATATTGTATTTGTGCTTTTCATTGTGATTTGGGCATGGGTCATTCCATGAGGTTGGGGCACAATTTGTGATGGTGTCTTTGTTACATCGGTTACTTTTACCACATGTTATGACCTGTTGAGTAGGCCATTTACTCTGTAAAAATAACACACACCTCTGCATTCAGCCTTGCAAGATGTATAACTATGTCAATATGGAATCCACATGCTGGGAAATAGCTGTTCATTTTTATGGAACCCATGTTACAATTGACACCCTCACAAATTGTGCCCCAACCTCATGGAATGACCCCGATATTCGAAAACTGTACATGTGAAGAAGTACAGCTTTGTAATGAAGGTAATACTCTAATCCCTTCATGAAGTTTACCAGTGTTGCATTGAATCTTGTGTAGACTATTACCTGGAAACCTTGCATGTGACTTTACATTGTTACTCATACTATCATGGGTATGACCAACCCTATCATTATCCTAAAAAATCAGAGGATATTGTTATCTGTTTACACTTATTTATGCCACAGAAAAAGTTGATGAAGTGTTTAATGTAAACTTAATTTGTTTGAATTTTCCTCCATCCTTTTAGATGTGAATTTTTTATAATGCGTTGGAAATATTTAATAACCTTTAAC